ATACATTCACTAAAATAAAATAAAAACACAATATACATTTACCTAAATTGTAACAAAAACACATACAAATGAATGGCATAACGGGAATATTTCAAATCAGTTCGCTACAATCGCCTCATTGGTGACGTAGGTGTGCGCCAGATGTGAATTTCAACCCGCTGGCGAGCACTACCTAATTTTCATTTTATATCGATAAAATTAAATAAGTTACCAATTAAAACATGCAGGACTTATTTAGAAATAAATACAACGGTATATTATGTGCTTTATTTGGTAATAAACAAATTTATTTTTACTATTTTGACACAATTATGTAAAATTCCCATAAGAAGCCATGTATTTTGAACAGCGCTAGCAACACCATCGCTCTTGCGGTGAATTAAAAAACCTCAATTGGCGTTCGTTTTTTTTTTTTGGATCGTATTTCGAGTATGCCGATTCCCCTGCTTATATTTAGTCTTCATAATCAAACACAACGTCAAATAGTCTTTGCCAGACACACACCGGAATAATTTCATACACCAGAATAATTTCATAAGTGTTCCTTTTTGCCAAATAGGGAACGGCACACTAAAATTATTAAGAAAACAGCGAGAAGTCTTAGTTTTTATTCAAAAAAATTATATTATTGTCACCAATACAAAATTTTATTTACCTAATTAATTTTGACCATGATAATAATACCGATTTGAAAATGAATAAGAAAATGAACATGCGATGAAAAAACTGTGATGTATTATACAAAAGGTACGTATGGAAACACCTTTATAACAAAGCATTTCGTTATTTTAATCCTCAAAAGTACACACATATTCGTTTTGTGTTAACAACATCAGTTTAAATTGTATTAAAAATATGGTCAAAAAAGGTTTTCTTAAACAATTACAATTTTAAACTAAATAAGGTATAAAACTCAAATTACAGACAAAAACGCTTTGGAACCAATACAATTAATACTATAAATATTCATAGTGCGTCCATTTAGACTGCATTAAAAACTGTTAATTCAAATTTTGCTTCACATCCCTTTTTTAATTGTTTTATTTAATTTTTAGGCATTGCTATGATTTCTCATTTGACCCTTCACTGCTTGTTTTTAATTAACAATACTGTGCCGTAGGGAAAGATTGCTGCCAGAGTTTTTAGTAATTTTAATACCGTTTTTATTTTGTCAGTCATTATACCAGAGGTGTCCAACCCGAGGTCCCAGACAGTTAATACTGTGGCCCATCAGTAATCTATAACCTTTAAAACTCTTGTTTGTATCTTAATAACTTACTTCCGGTATAAAATGTAAAAACCCACCACATCTCATTCTAATATATTTTCTTAAAATCCAATTTGTAATCGCTGCATATGCATGCATTTATTGATAGTTTCATGGCATAAATAAGGAGTGATCCTTAAAAATTGTCTCTGAAGAAGGCCTTGGAACGTATGTCGAGAATATAATTTTTCTCTCGTTTAAGTGTCAACTTGGATTTAATTCGGAGCCGCTCGTAGTTATCACGGACATGACTTGTACCTCTGTCTTTGTTAGTCATGACCTACTTGAGAAACATTTTTTGTGGATCACTCTTCATAACATATTCCAGTTTTGTATAGTTTCCATGAAAGTTTGGTGAAATTTGAGTGTTTTTTTTTTTGGACTACCAACCTGGAAAAAATTTACTATAGACCATTGCAAATTTTGTATTCGCAGGTGGATTGTACCAATTAGTGGGTCTTGTTTGAGGAGGGAAACATTACAAAAAAATGAATACAGAGCCCTTAACAAAAATTTTAGGTTAAGTATTACCAGCAAATGTTATAATATTTTGGTCAATCCCTCATACCGCCCGGATATAGTACACAACTTGTTTATTCCTGTACCCGACTAGAAAGAGCGAACAAAAAAGTACATTTTTTAGTCCGATGAGGGACTATTAACTGGCCACCATATTTGTATTGCGAGTATCATATTTGACAATTCATTTCTTGTTAAAAACAAACATTAAATTTTCTTTTTTAGTAACTAAATAAGGTAGATTACTTGTTTTTCATCATTGTGTGTAAATGAAACACTTTTAATTAATGCAGATTTCTTTTTCATTCTTATAAAATATTCTAGCATTTATTTATATATCTGGTATTTCACAAGTTAAACTGATGTTCCAATTTGGTTGTTCCCATTTATATTTATCCAGAATGCATATACACCATCTATGTTAGATTTAGAAATATCTAAATTTGACATGAAATACAAATTGATCGATAGGGAAATTATTAAAAAATGTTCCATTTTAACATGATCTTCAATTTCCTATAGTTTGAAGTAATAAAAAAAACAAAATATTTTATAAATTCACTTTTTAGGTCAGGCGTTTCATAATATTATGTGCCTTGTTCCAGCTTATTCTAAAATTCGCCAGTTTACAAAATAATTATAGCAATTAACATTACTGTTTTATTGCTATTAACACAACAAAAGTTCTGTAAAATAAACATAAACTGTATATTTTTATCTGAGTGGCAAACATAACTTAAAACATAAAAAAGTAAAAAAACATTTTGGTACCAATTAGAACCCGATTTTCGTTTTGTGAACTTTCGCGACGTATCTGATTCATTTGCGGATTATTCGAAACGTTTTTGATTATACTTTTTATTGCATTTAAGAAAATACAATACTTTAACAATTTCAATGTTGAGTTCTACAAAAAAAAAATAGTGTTATTTTAGTCAAAACTATTGACACATTTATTACTCATATAATATAACTTTAAACATTACATGTTAGTCCAAGCACTAATCAAGTAGTTCATTTAAATAGAGTTGAATGTAAAGATGCCATAGGCAATATAATACAACACAAAATAAATAAATTAGAAGAAAATAATAAATTGGCTTCATAGTTTTTCAAAAGAAAAATTTAAAGAATCTGTTTCGGATTTTGCGATTACGGAAAAACCAATACTTTCATAACAAAATAAGGAGAAAAATAACCATTACATTTGGTTATTATGGTTGTTCGTTAATTTAAACTGCTGTTTTTGACATTGATGGAAGACTTGTATTTTTGATTGGAAATAATGGTTATTATACAGTGTCGGCTTTTGAACGCTTTCCAATACGCTTTGATGTCTAAGTGAAAACTACAGAGTTAACATTAGGGCGAGCAGGAAACTAATATCAATGTAGCCAGCCGGCCGCGTGGTGAACAACGAACACGACAACGTTGATATTATTCGTTTCCTGCTTGCGCTAATGCTAACTTTGTATTTTTCACTTGGCCATTATCAAAGCGAGTTGGAATATGTTCAAAAGTAGAAACTGTCTAAATTGTTTTGGATCCAATAATTATCTTAAAAATAGCTAGTTATTGAAAATATTACATTTGACTAAAGGCATTGTTTTTTGCATCTGGTATTATTTTGTACATATATGTCATAGGCGTATTTTAAAACCAGGCTTTTTATAAAACTCCTAGGCTTTTTCAAAAAGACTTGGCATATAATAAAGCCATTGCATTTTTGCAATCAGACTTGTCAACGTCATTATCAAGGATTTAATCTCAAAATTGCCTTCTTGTAAAATAATTCCGTCCAGTCATCTACAGAACAAAGACCAACATGTTGAAAATATACTAAGAGCTTGGGTGAGTGACAATGATACAATTAATTGGTCAACAGTTATACAATGGCAAAAGAATGCATCTTACCCTCGAATAAAGAATTACCCATGTGTAGCTTTCAAGTGACCTGTTTTCTTCGCATTTGATCAATGACGTAAAAGTAATAAATAGCAAGGAAGAGTTAGATAATATTATTTCAGAACATCCCCAACGTGTTGCAGTCGAACTATATCGAGAGAGAGGAAGCTCAACACTCGACTAATTCAACTTCTAAAACAATAAATGATGACATTCAAATAATGAACATTGATGATACCACAAGATTATGTTGCAAATAATGCAGTTTCCAGAAGTAGCCGATAATATGCATTGCACATTTTTAATGCATAAAATGGATGTATAATTTGTGCCTCAGTCAAGAAAAAATAATAACATGACAGTTCTATCGGACAAAAACATGAAGAGGTTTCAAAAGTAGACCTCTAGATCCTAAAAATATTTTTGGATTTGTACATTAAATTCTAAGATTTGTACTCACCAGCATATAATTTAAGTAGTTCCACACTATTCTCTGCCACTTGTAACATAATTGTAAACATTCACTCAGGTAAAGGTATTTGCAAACTGATGTATCTATTTTAAAATAAGCCAAAGAACCCGAAGTAGGTGAATTGTAAAATATTATTTTTTCAATAAACCTAAAATCTCGCCGGCATTTTATAATATGCCTTAAAACTGTAGTCTAATTGTAAACATAAAATGAGTTTTATAATTTGCCGTCATTTTGAGAAAGCCTGGTAATTTTATTAAAAGCCTGATTTTAAAATATGATTATAAGTACAATTTTAAATAATCACAGTGTTCCACAATCCCAGATGCAAAAAACAATACTTTTTGATTAGTCAAATGTAATAACCTTTTTTGATTAACTTTTAGGTATTTTAAAGAGCATTATTGGATCCAAAACAACCATTATTTCCAATTAAAAATAGAAGTTTTTCATTAATGTTAAAAAGAGCAGGATAAATTGATAAATTAACGAACAATCCTAACAACCAAATGTAGTGATTTTTCTCTCCTAATTTTGTATATGAAAGTGTTGCTTTTTAGTAATCGCTAAATCTGAAATGGATTCTTTAAATTTCTTCATTTTAAGGAACCAAAAGAATTTAACAGTCTGCTGTGTGCACGTAGCTTAGATTAGCAAAGAAGCTTCTGGAATAAAACGGAATTTTTGAATCAAATTATTTGGAAGTCCAGATTTTAAATTATTATTTTCTCCTAATTTATTTTTTTTTGTGTTCGATTCAACACTGTTTAAATAAAACCTTACCAGTAACTTTGACTCACGTGTAATATTTAAAATGTAATAGACGTGCAAATAGTTTTGACTAAAATGTCATTATCTTTTTCGAAGAAATCTTCATTGAAATTTTTAATATAATCTGTTTTTTCCCAAATGTAATAGAAAGTTTAATGAAAAACGCCTCAAATCATCCGCAAACGAATCAGATACATTTTTTATATTCTTTAACTCAATTACTTGAAAATGAGCTTTTTCTAATAACGATTTAGTTTAAATTGATGAATTGTTAAAAAGGTAAACATTTCCTTGAAAACAAATAGCACAGTTGTACGTTTTGGATAAACACATTTTTTCGGATACAAACTTGTTAATGCACTCGAAAAAATTCTTGTAGCAATTTAATTATACATGGAATTTACACCATCGTCCTTATTGTTTACTGAACATGTACCATATTTTACTCTTCTGTTCGAATATAGATACTTATTAACTTCCGTAAATATTTATGCTTTCGTTTATGATACATTCTTACTTTAGTGGTAAACTTTCGACCTCAACCCACAAAATTAGTCAAAATGTTCAGATATCCTTTTAAAACTTTTTTTCACCACATAAAAACTCTCAAAACGTGACGTAGGTTTTTCTCAAATAAACGATTCAAATACTTTTCAATGAGTATTTGGTATTGATGCTTTATTTTTCGAATACTATGCTTGCTATTTGAAGCACTTTTAAAAAGTACTTGGATAAAGTGCTTGCTGTTTGGTAATTGAAGCACTTTGCATAAGTGCTTTACCCAGCTTCGTACACAGGTCGCATTTTATAAGTTATTGAGATACAAACAACTACTTTTCTAAATATTTCAATTATTCAATAATTTTGTAAATTCATATAACATTGTAGGAAGGCTGTGATAGTTTAGCCGAATTTTATTTCTATTAAGTTTAACACACTGATGTACTAGTCTCATTCTTCATAGTTTGTTTAGTATGTACGTCATTTCTAGTGGTTTTATTTTCTAAATATGTTGAGCAGTGTATGTTTTTTTAATGTTGCAAACAAAGAGTAACGTTTCCATTTAGTTCTGTCACTACTCGTACGCTCCAAGAATATTCCTCTTTGATAAAATATACCACAAACACAATGTTCTATACAATTATTCAAGTAATTAAATAAAAAAATACCTTTTCCATTTATTTGCTAGTTTTTTGTTAATTTATTTTTATAAAAGTTAAAAGAGGAATGTGAAATTGTCCATACACAAATTAAGAGATTTTTTATACATCATTTTCAAATCAAATGTTTAATACTGATCCAATATTAATATTTTTAGATTTTTCCAATTTGGAAAACTAAGCACTACACTAAATGAACACACCACTGAATAGACAAAGAAATTTTCATCATCTTACATAATATGCTTATATGTAATCTATACTAAGAGGTCAATGATGTAAAAATTTAAATATGGTTACTATTATATCTCAAATTAATGAGAACCTTCAATGTTTGCATTCACAGTTATCACATGATCCTTGAATTCTTTGTTAATATTTCAAACAAAAAATAAACAGGATACCCATACCCATTAATCAATTTACTCTACTTCCTTGTTATAGACTTCCATTATTTTCTCCATTATTTCCCAATGTTTTTCCTTAGGCAAATCCTTAACGAAAACGTTGTACCAAGCTTCATCGTCTGTATCTTCGATTAGAGGTAATTGTACTCCATAACACTGGAGGGCTAGAGATATGCAAGCAATAGCAATGTGTCGTGGATTGTAATCGAGAATGCTAGGATCGTGATGAAAGTCTTGAAGGAAAGCTGCAGAGGCTCTGGCTACTGGTATTGATTCCCATTGAGCTTTTCCCAACCATCTGAAATTTGAATATATTTAGAAATAAGCTACTAGAAGCTGAGAAAAATAAGAAAATGGAATGTGGAATTGATGGTGCAAATAAAAGTCTACATAAATAAATATCTATCAAAAAAAATGTTCAGTTACTGTTCAAAAGGGCAAGAGAGCTCAAGAATCACAATTACAAATATGTTTGGTCTAAAAATTGGTCTGATGATATTAGAAAATGTCGAGGGAGAAAGAATCATAAAAATAGAAATGATCTACAAATTGATTATTATAAATATATGTTCCAAACTTACCCTTCCATAGATCGAAGATAATGTAACAAAAATTTGTGTGGATGAACGGTACCAACTTCGAATTTCAATATTCTCATAATAAGTAGTTCTGCTTGAACTATGGCGTCTCGCATATTCCAGTATTCGTCGCCAATTTCCAAGGGGCTACTACCACGGTGCAAAGTATTGTGCGCAACATTTATAATATCTCGTATCTTTAGATTATCATCTTTAACTTTTCCTGCTAGGTACAATGAAGATGCCGCTATCAGCTGAAATAAATACATATCTTTATAGTCCAAAGAATAAAGAAAACTCCAAATCAACCATATAAAATAATTAATATTAACAAATGAAGATGCTAGTTTCGACTAACTCGCCACCATCAGGCTTATAATACAAAAATTCGAAAATATAGGATGACAACTAAAATAACAATTGTAATACAAAGTAAAAGTAGTTAAATCACAAGGTTTAATATACAGGATGACAAAAACTAATAATGACTATATCTGCGAACTAAATATGATATCAGATATTGCTTAAACTATTTCTAAGCAAAGTTGTAAATATTTTTCAATGACCGTTCTTCAGAGGCCTGTAACTCAGCAGTTAAGGCCATCAAAAACAAATACTAAGAGACAAAAAAATTCCTATACAATTAATGAATAATGATTGTTAATTAATTATTAATTAATCATTAATCATTAATCATTAATCATTAATCATTAATCATTAAAATCATTAATCATTAAAATCATTAATCATTAAAATCATTAATCATTAAAATCATTAATCATTAAAATCATTAATCATTAAAATCATTAATCATTAATCATTAAAATCATTAATCATGAATCATTATTCATTAATCATTAAAATAATTAATCATTAAAATAATTAATCATTAAAATAATTAACCATTAATCATTAAAATCATTAATCATTAAAATCATTAATCATTAAAATCATTAATCATTAAAATCATTAAAATCAATAATCATTAATCATTAAAATCATTAATCATTAAAATCATTAATCATTAAAATCATTAATCATTAAAATCATTAATCATTAAAATCATTAATCATTAATCATTAAAATCATTAATCATTAAAATCATTAATCATTAAAATCATTAATCATTAAAATCATTAATCATTAATCATTAAAATCATTAATCATTAAAATCATTAAAATCAATAACCATTAATCATTAAAATCATTAATCATTAAAATCATTAATCATTAAAATCATTAATCATTAAAATCAATAATCATTAATCATTAAAATCATTAATCATTAAAATCATTAATCATTAAAATCATTAATCATTAAAATCATTAATCATTAAAATCATTAATCATTAAAATCATTAATCATTAAAATCATTAATCATTAAAATCATTAATCATTAATAATAATAATAATAATAATAATAATAATAATAATACTCTCCCTAATTCACCCCCTTACGAGTGAATTTCAACCCCTGAAGTCGACTGAACGACTTGTGTAGGGGAAGGGACGGCTATTATTATTATTATTATTTGCCGTGGCGCTCCGGGGCGACTTAAAGATGATTGATGGTGCCATTTGACTTACAGGTGAGGAAAACCCGGAAAACCTCACCCACAGTCATCGAGACGGTAATGTATGGCGAATTTTTTTAATCAGCATGTCATATCAACAGAAATGTCATAATTTAATTTTTATTAAATATTGACTTAAAGAAAGATATTCAGAAAATTAAGTTCACTTTATCACCCTGTAGAATGAAAACTGGTTCGATTACAGGAAAATTATATTTAGGTTCTCTTAATAATTAGTTAAGATCTACAAATTTAAGTTTTATTATTATATTATATCATATTATATTATATTATATTATATTATATTATATTATATTATATTATATTATATATTATATTATATTATATTATATTATATTATATTATATTATATTATATTATATTATATTATATTATATTATATTATATTATATTATATTATATTATATTATATTATATTATATTATATTATATTATATTATATTATATTATATTATATTATATTATATTATATTATATTATATTATATTATATTATATTATATTATATTATATTATATTATATTATATTATATTATATTATATTATATTATATTATATTATATTATATTATATTATATTATATTATATTATATTATATTATATTATATTATATTATATTATATTATATTATATTATATTATATTATATTATATTATATTATATTATATTATATTATATTATATTATATTATATTATATTATTATTATTATTATTATTATTACAATAAGGGCAGAGGACGTTGTCCTATTGTGCCCAGTAAAAAAGAGCAAATTAATTAACCTAAAAACTATTAAATCAAGAAATGATTTTAAAATAAATATAAAGACTAAATACAAGTATAGTTACAAAATTAAATTCGAAAATGAGCTACATGCAAATGTAGTTCGAACATTGTTCAGGTGGTGAATCCAAAAATATATCATAATTATGAATTGTGAAAAATATGCCTGTCTATATTGTTTTTGTAAATATTGACACTTTGGGAATCTATAATTTCTTGGGGCAGGTTGTTCCAGACTTCGAAGATTCTGTTACTCAGAAAATGTTGTCTCGTTCTTGTTTTGAAGTTTTCTTTCTGAAGTTTTAGCGAATGTCCACGAAGTCGGGAGTCAGTATTTAGAGGAAAAGCTTGATTAAGGTCGCCAAAGTTATGTTTTATTATTCGAAACGACAAAATTAAGTCACCGCGAAGACGTCTCTGTTGGAATGTTACAAGATTTCCCATTTACGGTACTTTATTCTGAAACAACCTGAATATCATAGAGGCAAATAAATATATCATAGTTATGCAAGCTTGTTGTTTTGTTATTGCTTTTGTACTGTAACTTTAAATTATTTTATTAAGTCGTGATATATTCTACTGAATACAACTTTTGAAATCGGGACTATGTATAAAATAATTCTTTTGAGACTATCGATACCACTAGTTGTATTATATAGGAAAACTGTACAATAGTGATCCTCGGTCAAATAATGCATTGCATTCCTTTCAGCGCCAACTTTGAAAGGAAATTTCATTACATTAAAAAAAGGATAGAAGTGATTCTATTTGGTGGGGTGAAAATAAACTAAAAATAATTTTCATGCAATGAAGCTATTGAAAAATAAAATGTATTAAATTTGTTTTCTCTTCGAGGGGTTCGTACAATAGTTTCCATTACTTCGTAAGGGTTATTTTGAAAAATAATTTATTTGGGGCCTTCCAAAGGAATTTAAAATGTTTATTTTCGGATCAATAACCGATAGTTTTTCGGAACTTTATATCCTGTTTTCTCTTTGAAAAATAAAAACTTTTGTTTTAACTTTTACAAACGTCCAAGTTGTATATTTTATGCAGTTAAACTTTGGAGACATATCTTTTTATTTATTACTTCATTTTAAATATATTTAAATTCAATAAAAGATAATTTTTCAGTTTCACAATAAAGCATAATTTTTTAAACTAAACTTATCTTAGAAGCAAATAAATTAATGGAAATAATCTTTAACATTCGAAGAGTTCTAAATAGCATTGATTTATTATCCTACTAAAGTATTACAAGGTTTATAGCAACATTCAAATGGAATATTTTTCAAACTAGTTTTTGAGCAGGAACAAGGAACTGAACTTTATATTTTCAACCTACTTTAATCGTCAAATTGATAAAAACGATTTGTTTATATATTTTTAAATTTATGAAATGTAATTAAAGTATCATGGTAACTGATTGCATATCAGTTATAACATTCATGTGAATTTTTATAATTCAGAACATTTATAAATAAAATATTAAATGCAATTTGTGTTTTGATTATAATTTACGCGCCAATTTTGTTCATGCATGCTAGAAGTGGTATTTATGTTTGTGTTTATTTGCTCACAAAAGTTATATAAATGGAACATCAATAATTTAACTGGTGTGATAGGTCAGTGAAATTCAAATATATTAAAATACCAACTATTTTTGTTGAGGAATTTTTATAGGTAAATCAGACCTGTGAAAAATTAAATTAAATATCTAATTAAAACGCAAGAATGCGTTCATATCTAATATCATACAGCCTAATTCTCTAAACCTATCTGTAAGAATATTCTTCAGGTCAAAGTATAATAATTAATGTCTAATAGAGTTGGGCGATATTTTACAAACTGTTATCTAATTATATAAATTCCTTTGGAAGTCCCCAAAAAAATATTTTCAAAATTTAGAAATAATGAAAACTATTTTTAAACCTCCAAACAGAAAACAAATTTACGAAAAATTTAAAATGTTCTGGGCTGGGATTCGAACCCGTCTTTACGAACTTGGCTATCGGGACATAAGATGTGCGGATTCAGAGTTGTTAATTTGAATATAAGATTCGAATCCAACTCAGTGACAGAAAGGAGGTGTGAGTAAAATACAAATAGGTGAGTTCGAATCCCAGCCCGGGAATAGCTATTTGTGTATCAAGACCGAAAAGTGATACTTTGACGCTTGAGACAGAAAGATGTCCGGGCGACGCGTAGCGGAACACGGCAATTTGTCAAAAGCGGCAACAAACTTTTCGCTAAAAATGCACACAAGATTTTTTCTACGATAATACTTTTTTTAAGAAATAGATATAAAAACTGAAAATGAAATGTAAGTAGTGTATAATGTGTTGCCTATACCAACGTTAATCATAAAAAAGCAGTTGATATTCAAAATCACTGTTAACTTGGATAATATAACAAAAAACTACGCACAAATAACTTGAAAATCATTTATTAAAAAGAAATATTATATTACTAGCTGACCGGATCCCGCTGCGCTGAAATTTCTCAAATCTCAATTATTAAAAGTGAACAACAGTTGGTTACTCGAGAGAAATTTTTTCATGCGATACCTGGCAATTTTTTTTATTAAATTTTATTAATTATTATTAATTTGTATTAATTTAATTTGTATTAATTTGTATTAATTTGTATTAATTTGTATTAATTTGTATTAATTTGTATTAATTTGTATTAATTTGTATTAATTTGTATTAATTTGTATTAATTTGTATTAATTTGTATTAATTTGTATTAATTTGTATTAATTTGTATTAATTTGTATTAATTTGTATTAATTTGTATTAATTTGTATTAATTTGTATTAATTTGTATTAATTTGTATTAATTTGTATTAATTTGTATTAATTTGTATTAATTTGTA